GCAACAGGGTCTCTTATCAAGAATGAATATAACTCACTGGTTGCGCTTAAAAGCCCTATTGGCGCAGAATAGTTGGCAATGGGTAATAAATACGGCACTAGACGCTAAATGACGCAAGGATCGCAGGAAAGGCATCCAATTAATGTTTCCTCACAAATGACATCAGCTTTCCATGTGAAAGCATAAAGCTAAATCTTGCACTTTTCAGTCATGCACTGTGAATGACGATAAGAATAATGGTTCGCAGGGTACTGAACTGATGCTGAAAGGACCAACTGGTAGAATAAACAACTCATGGCAAAAAAGTGACAGAGAAGACATGAATAAGAAAGAGCTAGGACTCATTCATCGACATATTGCGAAACAAACCCAGTGTAGTATCGTAATGCGATCATATTAGGCATTAAACAAGACAGGAAGCGGTAACCAATGGTGACAACAAACGCCAGAATGTCATAATTCTTTACAACACCCGATAAGACAACTAAGCCTTGCCTAGCTAGAGGTATCGAAAAGTAAACCCATGCCACAGTATGAGAATCAACAAATGAAACGTGCCACAAATGGCGCTGATGAAAGAAGTGTATTAAGCAACACTGACACCGATACGATTCATCTTTGCTTTTAGCAATTGAAACTGCCACGTTGGGAGATGAGCGTTACGCGAGTGAGCTCTCGGAGTGACTAACAACAAATCGAACGGTCCTTTCAAAGACGAGAAACATAGAGTTGTCAGAAACAAGCCTAACGGTCTTCTTCCGTAACAGCTGTGTAGAAAATCTTGATCAAATTCGCTTAGTGTTATTAGCCACTTCTAGCTACAAGAGTTTGAACGTTTACCCCTAAACTATTGACATTCGAGATTAGCAGAGTTGTACCATAAAATTTACACATCATGAGTTAAAGCTTCATACAATGCAACGCCTAAATATGAATCACTTAAAACTATAAATATTGGTCGTACCTTGTCAGAAAACGATATAAAAATCCCATCGACCAATTTATCCTCCTTTGTTCTAATTCTAACACTGCAACCCTGAAAGCGAACAACGGTTCATATGAGATGAGGTTAAACACGGACCGGTGGTGTTTTTACCAGAAGTGATATCGCGGCGTGAACGAACCGACCATTGGCATAAACGCCTTGCATCTTCTGAAACAAATATCAGAGTCTGTTGAGAATGTGAATGTGTAAGGTTAAAAGGATCATAATATTAAATCAACTCAAGTCACTCACAGTCTTTTTAGATGAAGACGGAGGTAACAAAGAAGCACAACAACGAAAATTACAAGAAAGCTTACATGAAGGGTACAATGCAACAATGATAAATATGAACAGAGCAGGACTTATTCATAATAGAAATAAAAACATTCAATGCTTGATGATATATTTTAAAAACATATTTCTATGCAAATTCGTACTTAGCATAGTACAATAGTACTATTAGAATGTACCATGTACTATTAACACTATGTAGTATAATTCGTTCTTAGCAAGAGTACATGAAAATTTCACGCCAGACAGTATCGCAGAAAGATAGCAATCGTTGCAGAAAATCGATGATCGAGTATCCGGACAGTGAAAATACCTGGGATGCAGAGTTCACTCACTATGTTGTCCCGCCTCAAAATGTTTGAATTAATGGCTAAGCATGGGAGAGTATGACTGATACAGTGCTTCAAAGTTTCAATGGATGCAAATTTGCAAGGGGTATACAAAGATTTACAAGAGTCCTTCACAAACTTCCGATTAAGTCTGAGAAGCGTTACCGAGTGAGCTGACATGCACAGTGTCTATACGGCTCAATGGGACGAATGTCCTGAAACTGTGTAGTAAGACAGCTGCCACTGAGCACTCATCAACCCTTACTAAACTATTCAAATCATATGTGAAAAGTACTCATTTAAATGCTTAATGACGTGTTGATGAAAACATTACTTTAAAACCACTACCTCCTTCATTTGGAAAATTATTCTGGGAACTTACTTTTTATTGCGAACATCACTACGGCCATTAAGGAAAGAATGAATTAGCAGTCTGTCCAGGTCGATTAATCAGACCTACTAAAATGGGACAGACAATCAGAGATGAAAACTATTGATCGCCAAAAATTGACAAAGTTTTAAAGACTGTTCGACTGTTTTACTTCCTATCCATTTGGAAATGAGAAAAAGTTAACAATTCAGACATGAATGTGTCACCTGGTGAGAATCGATCAGAATAAAAGTACGCCTCGCACCTCCGCGGTAGACAGGAAACCAAGTTTTTAAGTAATGTCATCAATCACTCATCAAACAATGAATTGCAATCTGTAGGCGTCTTAGAAACTACTTCGATCAATTGCTGAGACCCACGAAAACACAAGACATCTGCCAAAACAGCACCATCTACACCGTCGGACATCTTCAATTTAAAAATATGGCAGTTTTAAAAACTTATCTGATTACAGCCAATAGCATAGCAATAACAAACTACCAAAGAAAAGAACGATCACAGAGCATAAAGAAAAAGTTATTTTTTATTGCAGTGCCAAGCAAACCACAAACTTACTATGTCACTGTCCCCTCCAAAAAACGACTAATAAGCAATATATAAGCCTTATTCTTATCGCCATTATTGATAATAATCGACAATTATGGTGCTTCCGCCGCGACGAGAGACAGACTCATCGGGAAAAATTCAAAAACTGAAAGATTCTTACAAAATCATTTTAATTGCATCGCTTTTTACGAAAATGTTTGAACAATTCTGATGTAATGTAGTCAATTCAGCGTTCATTGTTAACGTAGCTGACAAGCGCTTCTTTCATAAGTTTAATGGTATAGGCGACAATAAATCAAGAAAGGATTAGGTCTTCGCTTAATATATCGAATGAACTATGTTCAGACCAGGCTGACCTCGGCAAAATCTCGGTAAAAAACTGCTTCGTGCAGATTCATAGGAGAGCTATTGGGAAAAAAATGGAAATGCTGGTATGCTACTTCTTGACGGCAAAGCATTCATTACAGAATGCAATACAGTAGTTCATGAAAATTCGGAAACCACGTGCTCTGACACGAAGAAGCACGTGACCGCGGCACATGTCCCGAAGTTTCCGCGGACTTTCGGTGCCTCATCTTTGAGACGAATATTTGGCAATGTATGCATTTGGCGAAAGGTATTTTGTCTGCAAATTATAAAAATAATGTTTTAAGTAATTTACACAAGCATGCTTTGCTGAATTATGCAAACAAAGACAGTACATGACATGAAACAACAAACAGACGACGACAAATTTCAGACCTTATAACATTGAAAAACGCGTTTTGCAAAGTGAAACTGTTCAAAAACGCTTGCGTTATCGAATAGAACATAACTGGCATAAAAATGACTGCAAAAACTGTTTAAGTGCCTCATTTTGAGACATAAAATGTTGATAGAATATACGCCGTATCGGCACAGACTTACCGTCGTATCTTTCAATTTTCCGATTGTCAATGAAACATCCTTGTTCACCATATTCCTTACTTCAGCGGGCATAATTTGTAAAGCAAAGAATTATCTAAATGTCCCAACGAAAACAATCTAATAAATACTAAGCGTACTCAAGAAAGAGTTACATAACGCAAGAACGAACACTAACCGGTCAGAGTTAGGGTAAGAATTGTAAGTACCTACAGATCAACATACACGAATACAGTAATTCGCGCTAAAGGTACACACCAACCGTCGTGCCATCGTAGCCGGGGACGTCGTGGTGGTGGTGATCGTTGTGGATATGCATGTATTGGGGGTAATTTCGGAGTGAGCGGGTAGATTGATTGAACGCGACTCTGTGCGATTGGCACCATGTCTGTGTCGCCGAGCGTCGAGCGGCCGTCCGTCGACGGCCTGACTGCTTCGCCGTCCATGTCCATGCATCTGGCACTTCGCAATTCGACGACTTCATCTTCGTCGCCTCCTCCGCCCCCGCATCCACCTCCTCTGCCGACTAGTCGTATCGACCAGTTCCTGCTCGAGACGCTGGACGACGGCGTTGGGCCGAACGACTCTGAAGCATCCAGCAGTCATGCCCAGCACGAGACCGACAGGCATGGATTCATAGCCGATGACAGCCGCAACACTGACGAGTAAGCATTTGTCAGTCAAAAGCCATGTGTACTCGTGGCTTAGTTTGTCGATCGATGACTTCCTACATGTTCTTTCGTTCGTTTGTACGTCGACGGTATCGAACACATTTAAGGATAATGCTCTAACTACAGTATGCATATTTGGTACATATCATATTTGGTAATGAAATGCGTCATTATAACTGCAGCAATATGATTATTTCGGTTCCTGGTTAAGCGGATTTTTGGTTTTTAATGATTTTACGTTTTGTGTTAATACAGTTGGCGTGGCCCATATTTTCTAGCTAGTTTTGTCGCAATATCACAGTGGATAGTTCTTTACAATAATGCTGATCCTATGTTCGCCAGATTGACAGTTTACTGTTCTTTGTTATGCATGCCCAATTTAGTGGTTGTTCCCTTTCAGGATGGGTTTAAAGAGGGCGGTTCACTTGCATATGTTTGCAGATGTCATGCTACAACGACATATCGGCATAATTTTACCTTAGGTTACATATCACTCAGCTGGTCCACTGGTCATTCCGTTTCCCATGCGGTCAGTCACCTCGTTTTTGAGATCACTTTTGAAGATGGTCTTTTCCCTGCGTCTCTTTGCATTCAGTTTAACCACTCCAAGATGTGTTCACCCTCGGTAAAGAATTTGTTGCATTGTGAAATTAGTTCGCCTATCCCTTTGCGATAGTATTACTGAAAGTAGTGATTGTATTTCTTCTACGGTTTCGTGTGGTTTCAGTATCATTTGTATGTGCAACAAGATTTCCTATGACCGACCAATTTCATTACGTCCTAACCAATTGTAGGTCACTGTAATCGCGATGCGCAACAAGTTAAATTCTGCGTACGTCAGAACTTATATTTTTAAGCCTCAATTAATCTGGACACGTTCGGAAGCTTGGTCCAGTCGATCTTGTCATGAAGATCCCATTGTATTTTTTTCTATCTTGTTTATTGTATCGTTCACATGTTTTGTGCATGAACTTCCGGAAGCTTCTTTAAGGTCAGTAATTTCTATCTACCACAGCAATAAATGTCACTTTACTTTCAGTTTGCGAAGGCTTCAGCTTCAGAAAATTTTATCGATTATCGAGGGTCCATTTTTGATCCAGGTTCTGAGGGGGGGAAAGAGGTTGGTGGCTCAGTGCTAATAGGACGGATTTTTACTCCGGATGTGTCCGGTTTGAATCCCGATAAATGGAAAAATGTCTCTTAACCGCCATATATCCTTCAATATACAATCTGTCATGCGTTGTTTCGGCGGTAGGCAACCGAGAAACAGGTATAATGTGCTGTGTATTGGAGTGGTCATACCCGAATGAACGAGTGACCTACGACCATGCTGTCTTATGCGAGTGCCTCGTAAGGCGGTGACTCGCCTTGATTCAATTTATGAATGACTATTCCGGGTGATAATCATCACATAGTACAACTCTGTTGTTGTTCAGTTGGGATGAATTCCAAGGCGCAGTAATGACAGATGATCAATTTACTTCAGTATATCCGAAGTTTGTTACTTCCTGAATTGCAATTTTCCTTGATGAGGTCCGCCTAACCACTTGTTCAGACCATCGTTGTCTTGGCTGCTCAATCTGGAGGACGAGCGTCTCTCAGATTGCGATGCTATGAAGTTTATTGAGCGTCATCCCTTCAGCATTCCTCTGAAGAAACCGCAGCTTGCCGCTTGCATCCGGTATCGCACTCTTTCAGTCAGTATGCAATAGTCACTACGATGAAAGTGCGATAGTTCCATCGAATGCAGAATGAAAAGAATGAGTGGCTTCGGAACGCTGTCTGAAGAAATCAGTAATGTTTTTCATGGTCTGACAAACTTTCCAGAGAATGGACACATATTCAAAGTCATTTTCTTTTGGGATGCAGACAGTGGCCGTACGGAAACATCCGAGGCCAACTCCACACAGTAAAACAAGTGCTAGAGATGAACTTCCTTGCAATAAAGAATATGACCTTTGGCGCATCAAACAATATCGCTTAAATCAATATGAGAAAGTAAAAGTGTCAGACATCATTAATCTAGTACCCTCATACCTTAGATACTGTGACAGACAAGCAAACTCGATCATAAATGATGCGAATGCGCAGGCAGACATTCATTTGGGCAAATTTATTTTTATGGCATAAACAGATATTCCAGCTCCTCGCTAATAGCGCTTACGACCTTTCCGAGGTTCATGATTACCTGTCACCATTTTTTCCTTGTTTGTGATCTCCTTGTCAGTAAAAAATTGTTCTTGTTAATCGAGAATATTAATGCGATTTATGACTAAGGTATTTAACCTTTGCTGAATTTCTAAAATTATCTTATGATGTAGGTAGTTGGTATAGATTTCATAAATGCCTTCGGATCGATGGTGTCCGTTGGTGTTTGAACAGATTACTATTCGATCCAACAAGATGGTGTGGTTTTGCGCTTTCCCACTGCAGGTGCTAAATTACCATTAAGCTGTGGTCTGCTTAAACGATCCCCTAGGCTAGTAGGAGCAAGTGAACTGTGCGACTAAGCCTTGTGAATCAAGATAAGTGGCAGATGATTACTGTGGATAAATGATGTAATCGTTTTCTGAGACTAGCAAAGTTAAACCAAGGGAATACCTAGATTATATGTCTGAGGTCGGGAATGTTTTCTCACAATACGACATGGACATTCGTGAATAACATTGCTGTGTTTACGCTCCCCTTTTCTGACATCCCTCACCACTCAGAGTTCGCTGCCCGGTTCCTCCTAAGTTCCGTATTTATTGTGTTTTCAATTAATTTGTACATTTGGCAGATAGACTTTAATGCTCTTCAGTACAGCCTTGTTTATGAGCCTGCAGAGTAATCTTTCATTTAGATTGTTTATAAACATTCTATAGTGAAGTTAAGAATTACACATAGTCGAATCATTGACAACACAACGGTCAGTAATAAGTTACCGTCGAATATATACGTAAGTACCCAAATTAGATCATGGAAAATAATTTTATCCTGTTGTTTTACTGGTCTTCATAAGAGTTGGAGATAATACTTGTAAGAAAAGTACAGTTCAACTACAAGCCTGCATAAAACTCTTTGAACATTGGAGGCACATCCTGATTCAGTAAATCAGTCAAATTTGCTTAATAATTCAAATTAACTTAAGTGAACCCTGAGGTACACGATAAGTTGCCAAAACTTGGATAGAGCAAATACAATAAGACAATAAAAAGAGGCAGTTTAAAGGTGGAACTATCAGGTTGACTAAAGTTTGGTCAAAAATTACAACTACGGTAAATTGATTTTTCTAAGCAACTAACGAGGATTATCAGTGTCTGGTTTCGATGCTCACGTTTGTCACCACAAGCTAACATATCTCTTTCATATCATCTTCCCATTTGATCAGGGGTCATCCAGTTTGATGTTTGTCACCCCAAAGTTCGAATCCGGCATACTAAGTCAATCGTTTATCCGTCAGTCGCGCCATATGACCGGCACATTGTCTTTTTCTTTCTTTCGAAGCGGTTGCGGCATCCTGTGTGCTGTGCGATGTTTTATTTCTTCATTTAGTAGCTTGCCTATGATGAAAATTTCTGGCACCCCTTTTTTTATAGGTGTTGTTGCACTTTTAACAGTTTTATGTCATTTTTCGTTAATAACTAGGCCTTGCAACAGCATAAGGTAATTGGCAGCACAGCACGGTACTTTTATATAATGTTTTTAACTGTAAATGGTAATTTTCTGTTTTCAGTAATGTGAGCGTTAGTTTTCTATGTACTCCATGACACATTATTCCGTACAGAGCTCTGGACCAAAAAAGCGATTTGACCCGATCAGTTATTCCAAGTAGACATATTCTTCTTCTTCATCAGTTATGCAATCTTTGGCGGTAACTGCGAATTCTCCTGTTTGTCCGACTCCAGGTTGCTTGCTCTTTAACTCTAGCTCAAATACCATGGTTGAAACGTTTTTGTCTGCATCTCTAACAGCAATTCGTAGATGTCTGAGCTGCTTGCCTTGGAATGAAGATCCTATGTTATGTTTAATTTTTTAGACCACTGATTTGGTGAGATTCAACTTAGGGAATATGATGAATCCTTGACGAATCTCATTCTAAACCTTGATTTCAACTGTATTTTCAAGCAGCTGAATATTCATGCCGCAGATTATGTATGCTTCTTGTAGAATTCGGATATACTCTTCGGGCATTACTTGCTTTTGCAACCTCTGAAAGACTGCTTTATTCTCCACTAAGTCAAATGCTTTTGCATGACCCACGAAGTTCATGCAGATAGTCCAAAATAACTGTTCTTTTCTCTGGCATTTGATAAACCCCTGTCCGCACTTGCAAAGAACTTACACTGGTTTTGTGCTTGGCCGATTCGAATGGCAACGTTGCAAACGCTGCTGCAGTGGGCGAGTTGGGTCGGTTAGAATAGAAATGACCACCGCAAACAGACTCGGCCAACTAGTTTCAAAACGCTCTGGATGCGAGCCATTTGGTTTCTCTGAAGATTCCTGAAATAGACTGATGCAACGTAGAGGAAGAATGTCAGAATATAGGTTCTGCTGAAGTCTTTCGCCTTCCATAGCTGTCGCTGAATCCTCAATCTGCACAGCAGGAAAACGAGGTCTAAATGGCGAGTGCTTTTCTATTTTTTCTCATGAACTAACCTCTTAAAATTGAAACATGGACTGAACGCTAGTTATGCAATAACTATGTTGTTTATAATATAAAGAGCGTTTAACGAGTTTCGAACCAAATCAAGTTCTTCTCTATAAGACGATTTTCTGACCTTGAAGAGCCCTGTTATCAATCAATCGTTTCAAACGTTTGGCAAATTTTACTGTTAGCGTGCACCAGTCATAAAACATTTTTACGTTCTGTTTATGCTGACGACCATCGTTTTTATGGTGTGTAATGCAAACGTCAGGCGATAGCAGTTACATATGCTCTTTGATTCAAGCGCTTTAGATATTTGCGAGCTGATTTTTGTCAAGGCTCTGTAAATCATTAAACGCACGACCATCAGC